ACGACGGGAGTCAGACTCCGGATCAGGAAGAGTAGGAAGAGAGGACGCAGGAGGAGACGGCAGCGGGACACGCTGAGGAGCAGTGGAGGGACGCAGAGTCATGTAGTGAGTGCCAGGGACAGGAGGAGGACGCTCACGTGGGACACGATGGCCAGTGCGAGCAGTACGAACAGGCGACGCAGGACGAGACTCAGGCTCACGACGCTCTGTAAGACCTCCTGTGGGACCAGCGTAAGGAGAGGGAGCAGGGAGAGGCGAGGCAGGTGGTAACTGTGACTGCGGCGGGACAGGCGGAGGACACTCTACGGAGGGAGGAGGACAAGGAGGAGGAGTCTGACCAAGAACCTGCTGAAGGAGCGGTACGAAGTACGGTCGCGGCCGCGCAGCGTCTCCAGAACGAGCAGAGACACCAGCAGCAGGGTCCTCAGTACCCGCAGTAGCTCCAACGTCCGGGTCCTCAGCACCAGCAGCAGCTCCAACGCCCGGGTCCTCAGCGCCAGCAGCAGCGCCACCGCCCGGGTCCTCAGCACCAGCAGCAGCTCCAACGCCCGGGTCCTCAGCACCAGCAGCAGCGCCACCGCCCAGGTCCTCAGCACCAGCAGTAGCTCCAACGCCCGGGTCCTCAGTACCAGCAGCAGCGCCACCCCCAGGGTCTGCAGCACCAGGAGCACCACTCCGAAGACTGCAGCGCCGCGCGTACCACTCTCGGATCTGCTGAATGGGGGGGAGCTCCTGGGTAGGAGGGGAAGTACTGGTACAAGCTCCAGCAGCACCTCTCCGGAGGCGGCAGTACTGTAGGTACCTCTCCTGCAGCTGCTGGGAGGAGAGGGCTCCCCCAGGTGGAGCACGCTCAGGCTCAGCACCTCCAGACACAGCACCCCCAGACTCAGCACCTCCAGGCTCAGCACCCCCAGACTCCGCACCCCCAGGCTCAGCACCCCCAGACTCAGCACGGTCAGGCTCAGCACCCCCAGGCTCAGCACCCCCAGACGCAGCACCGCCAGACGCAGCACCTCCAGGCTCAGCACCTCCAGACTCCGCACCCCCAGGCTCAGCACCTCCATGCTCCGCACCCCCAGGGTCCGCACCCCCAGGCTCCGCACCCCCAGGCTCACCTCCCTCAGACTCCTCACGGTCAGGCTCAGCACCCCCAGCAGGACGAGAGTCAACAGCTACCTCGACAGGCTCAACCGGGTCTACCTGGGACACACCTGAGGGAGCGGCACCCTGAGGGGGGAGGGGGTCTGGTACCTCAGCACCTGGAGCGAGGAAGAGAGGCGGGGGGGGGGAGCGGGGCAGTGCGGTAGGGGAAGAGGCGGTATTAGGGGACGGACTCGTCAAAAGTGATGTCCTGAGAGGCCAGGACACGACGCGAGGTGGCGTGGTAGAACTGCCAACCAGGCGCGTCCGGGACAAAGCCAAGGAAGACACAGGGGACAGCTCGACGGGAGAGCTTGTCCGCGGACGTATCGCGAACAAACGCTCGAGATCCCCAGATCCGAAAACGCGACGCATCGCCAGCCTCTCCCGTCCAACGCAGTGTCGGAGAAGTCTCCGGTAAGGAGACACGGGGCCAGAGGTTGAGCTGATGCGCAGCGTATCGGACTGCAAACGGCCACAGAAAGTGGGGGGCAGCCGCATGAACTAAGGAGGTACGAGCGACCTCCATGACCAAGCCAATGCGGCGCTCAGCAACCCCGTTCTGCTGTGGAGAGGCCGGAAGCGTGAACGACTGCTCAATGCCCTCCTGCTGACAGAAGGTCTCCAAGAGGCCAGAGGAAAACTCCCCACCTCTGTCAGAGTGCAGACGCAGGACAGGGAAGTCGGAGCGGAAACGCTCACTGAGCTGGAGACGAGATCTGCGGATCCAAGGGATTAAGACATCAGGGACGTCACCCTTGGTGCGCAAGGGGAAGACCGTGGTGTAGCGCGAGAAGTCGTCAACAACAATCAGGAAGTACCTCTCCTGACCCTGACCACGGACGCGGGCTGGGCCCCACACGTCCATGTGGAGCGTCTGCAAAGGAGCAGTCGTCGGGGGAAAGGAGGAGGAGTGAGGAGCGGCGCGCTGCCGCCCCTCGACACAGGGAAGACAGGGAGGAGCAGGCGAGGGTGGGAGGGGAGGGAGAACCCTGGGAAGACCAGCAACAAGGTCCCGTTTGTGCATGGTCCGAAGGCGCTGCACAGACGGGTGACCAAGGCGGTGGTGCCAGAGGACAGTCTCATGCGCCAAAGAGCGGCACGAGCAGGGGGCCGACAGCTGGCCTGGCGCAGACGCGGACGCGGACGCAGCTACCTGAGGGGACTCAGTGGTCAGTGTGTACAGGTCCGACCCCGGCTGCCGAGTGAAGGTAGCCAGGTGACGGCCCGTCCGAGCACACGTGCAGTGTGTCACGCGCTCGTAGGCAGGGGTGAACTGGTGAACACCCCCGTCCTGGAGCGCACAACCTGCCACCAAGTTCGTAGAGAACGAGGGGAGGTAGAGACCTGACAGTGTGCCTGACGGGGCCGCAGGACAGGGAAGAACAGTGGAGGAGGTCGCAATGACCGGACCCCCAGAGGGGTCAGCGAGGGAGACAGCAACTGGCCGAGCAAGCGGCTCAAGGGCAGTGCGGTCACGAAAGAAACAGCGAGAAGCACCTGAGTCCAGGGTGAAGGTGTGCAGTGCCTCAGTCGACTCAGTACCAGGGGATACAGACTCACTAGCACCTAAAGCGATAGCCTCACCATCACCTGAGGTGGCAGACACGCGAGTACCGGGAGTGGGAGCCTCACCAGCACCTAGGGCAACAGACGTACTAGCACCTAGAGCGGCAGCCTCACTGACAGAAGCTCCCGAACGATGCACTCCAGAGCGACTACCACTACGGCCACCCCGACAGCCCCAACTAGCGTACCACTCACGCGCACGAAGCACCTGGGACGAAGGAGGACACGGCAGCTGCACCTGTCCACTACCAGAAGCTCCCGACCGATCCACTCCAGAGCGACTACCACTACGGCCACCCTGACAGCCCCAACTAGCGTACCACTCACGCGCACGAAGCACCTGGGGCGAAGGAGGACACGGCAGCTGCACCTGTCCACTACCAGAAGCTCCCGACCGACCCACTCCAGAGCGACCACCACTACGGCCACCCCGACAGCCCCGACTAGCGTACCACTCACGCGCACGAAGCACCTGGGGCGAAGGAGGATACGGCAGCTGCACCTGTCCACTACCAGAAGCTCCCGACCGACCCACTCCAGAGCGACCACCACTACGGCCACCCCGACAGCCCCGACTAGTGTACCACTCACGCGCACGAAGCTGCTGGGGAGTGAGGGACTCACGCGCACGGCCCTGGAGCTGCATCTGGCCACGCCAGGAGCAGCAGTAGTAGCAGTAGCGGCAGCAGTGGGAGTAGAAAAGGCAGTAGCAGCAGTAGCAGCGGTAGCAGTGCTGGGCAATGCTCACCAGTGGTCGGCGCGGCAGGCGCAAGACGGTGGCGACAGCGGGGCCGCTACAACTGCAGGGCTGGGCCGGGCCGTAGCAGGGAGCTCCGAGGCAGCTGCTGCAGGGCGAGGCCGGGCTGCGACGGCAGCTGCTCCAGGTGCCAGGGGCGGCTGCTGCAGTGGCGGCGGCTCCAGGGGCCAGGGGCGGCTGCTGCAGCTGTGGTTGCTCCAGGGGCCAGGGGCAGCTGCTGCAGGTGCGGGCTGCTCCAGGGGCGGCTGCTGCAGGTACGTGCTGCTCCAGAGGGGGCCGCTGCAGTGGCAGGCGGCTCCAGGGACGGCTGCTGCAGTGGCGAGCGGCTCCAGGGGCTGCTGCTGCAGTGGCGGGCGGCTCCAGGGGCTGCTACTGCAGTGGCGGGCGGCTCCAGGGGCTGCTGCTGCAGTGGCGGCTGCTCCAGGGGCTGCTGCTGCAGTGGCGGCTGCTCCAGGGGCGAGAGGCGGTTTAGGTCAGGGCGACGCGGCGAGAAGGGCGACGCGGCGGGCAGGTGGCGACGCGGCGGGCAGGTGGCGACGCGGCGGGCAGGTGGCGACGCCGCGGGCAGGGCGACGCGGCGGGCAGGTGGCGACGCCGCGGGCAGGTCAACGCGGCGGGCAGGTGGCGACACCGCGGGCAGGGCGACGCGGCGGGCAGACGACGACGCCGCGGGCAGGCGCCGACGTCGCGGGCAGGGGACGACGCCGCGGGCAGGCGACGACGCCGCAGGCAGGCGACGACGCCGCGAGCAGGCGACGACGCCACGGGCAGGCGCCGATGTCGCGGGCAGGCGACGACGCCGCGGGCAGGCGACGACGTCGCGGGCAGGCGACGACGCCGCGGGCAGGCGACGGCGCCACGGGCAGGCGACGACGCCGCGGACAGGGGCTACGTCGCGGGCAGGTGACGACGCCGCGGGGAGGCGGTGACGCCACGGGCAGGGCGACGTGGCGGGCGGCGAGAGCCTGCAGGGGCGGCGTGCGGTCGTGCAGAGGCTGCGCACTGGCCTGACGGACCTGCAGGGGCAGCTCGAGAGTGCACGAGGGCGCACGAGGGCGTACGAGGGCGCACGAGGGCGTACGAGGGCGCACGAAGGCGCACTAGCAGAGAAAGGCGCACGAGGGCGCACGAGGGCGCACGTAAGGTAGAGCGCACAAGGGCGCAGAGGGGGAGGCGCTAACGCAGCACTCCGACAGTAGGGCGCACTAAGGCGCTAGGAAGTAGTTAGTAGAGGTGGGCCCGAAAAAAAAAACTTAGGTTCTAGCGAAGGACCTGCTCTGAAACCATGTCAGAATAACTGAACGAGGAATGGATGAACTAGCAGGAAGGTGGGTACAAGTATGAAACCCTAAGTTTGTGTACCCTCTAAGGCTAGACCCACTATAGCCTACACAATATAAACATACAATGTTTGACACCAGCAGGGATTGAGATTGTGTCGCACGCAGTTTGTTCCGCCTTCTCCCTTCATCCGGACTGGGTGGTGCTGCAGCTGGACGTTGCAAATGCATTCAATTCTTTCAACCGGGTTCCTATGTTTGAGGCATTAAGGCGCTCCCCATTCTCCAGTCTCATTCCCTTCTTTCGCCTGTTCTACTCCACCCCTTCACCTCTCCACTACCGCGGCGGCCTCCTTCTCCATACATTCCAGTCAGCTTCTGGTGTTCGTCAAGGCGACCCTTGCGGCCCTTTCCTGTACGCCCTAACGCAACAGCTAGCCATCCAACCAACCCAGCAGCAGTCTCCCTCTATTTTCATTTCCTCATACGCGGACGATACCTACCTGGTCGGCCCTCCCTCAGACGTCTTTGCTGCATACACTGACCTTACTGCTCGCCTTCTCTCTCTCGGCCTTACTGTTCAACCCTCTAAGTGCTCTCTATGGGCCCCTATGGACTTGCCCGAACACTGCATTCCACCCTCCGGCATTTCCATCGCTGCAAACGGTCTCACTGTCGCTGGCGTTCCTACTGGCTCCGACGGTTATGTCATCTCTACAGTTCGTGACAAACTCGTTTCTTTCACTTCCTCCCTCCCCTTACTGCACCAACTGCAAGACCCACAGATTGCCTCACGGATCCTTTCCTTATGCATCACTGCCCGCCCTTCTTTCCTCCTCCGAACAATCGCACCTTTTCCCGAAATTCGAGAGCTACTCTCCTCATGGGACAGCACTATTTTCAGCCACTTCTCTCAGCTCCTAGGTTCCGAGTACTGGAATCCCGCCTCTGAACAGTCCGCATCGGCTCGTCTCCAAGCCTCGCTTCCAATCCGCTTGGGTGGCTTCGATCTTCGTAGCTCTGCATCCATCGCCCCTCTCAGCTACCTTTGCAGCTGGGCGCAGACTGTGTCGACCTTATCCACCCACTTCATCACTGACGGTGCTCCTCTTTTCCGCCCTTACATTACCACAGACACCATCAACCACTTGGACTCTTCAATCTCATCCACCTTGACCATGCTCCCTCAAGACATTCGTGATCGATTCCCCTCGTGGTCTGTGCTACAATCGGGCTACCCCCCCAAACTCTTCACTCACCTCTCCCAACACCTCGAAGCCGAACTTCTGGAGCAGGTTCGAGCCACAGTCACGTCCCCGCTTCGCCTTGCTCGCCTAACCTCTTTGCAGGGCCCGCATGCAGGTGACTGGCTTACTGTGGCTCCATCCTCCCCGCACATGCAGCTTTCAGAGACCGAGTGGCGCATTGCAGCAGCTGTCCGCCTAGGCCTTCCTATCCCACACCTTTCATCTTCCCACACCTGCACCTGCAACTCCCCATTCACCGATCCTTCCATCCATTCTCACTTCCTTCGCTGCCCTAGCAACAACGAACCTGCGAAGGTGCATGACGCTATCAAGCGCGAAGTTCATCGCATTGCCTTGGAGCCGGGGTTCTCTGCGCAAATGGAAGACCAACACCTACTGCCTGGCCGCCGAACAGACATCACGTGTCGCGACATCAGCTCTGATACCACCTGGGCCTTGGATGTTTCTGTTGCCGATCCTCAGAGGGGGTTTCCGCACTCCAACGCAGCTACAGTCATCGGTTCAGCAGCAGCCACTCGTGAAAGTGAGAAGACTACCCACTATGCAGCAGCACTTCATGACCGCCCAAACGTCAAACTGTTTCCCCTTGTCATCGAAACCTTCGGTTGCTTCGGCTCTTCCTTCAACAACTTCCTCCGCCAATGCAGCCGTAGGGGGGCTTCACAAGTTCGCGACTTGAGTGGTGCAACGGATTCTCTTCCCCAGCTGTTTGAGACCAACTTCTACAAGCGGATTTCTCTAGTCCATCAGCGTGAGCAGGCTCGCACTGTTTGTCGGCGTGCGCAAATTCGTTTTACCGAGGGCATCAACCACACTCCACCCGAGGTGACTTCTCTTTCAGCGGCTGACTTTGCTTACTTGGGAGTGGACCATTGAGACATCACAGAGGCCTGTTAGAAGGCCTCACAATAGGACTGTCTAGCTTTTCTTTCTTCACACTAGGTTATTGGATTTGCCATGTATCCACTGTACATTTACTATATTGTTAATAAAGAGGTATGATTCTCGCTTCGGGTGCGAGAGGTCCCGAGTTCGATTCTCGGAACGCCCCCTTTCTGTTCATTAGTTCGGGTTGTGCGCCTTAGCGTTCATCCCTGAAACGAACGCGTGTTCAAGGAATCCTGTCCCACATTTTATCACGAACTTAAATTATTTCGCTAAAAATGAAGTCGCGAAGAGTTTGTTACTTGCGCGTAGCGAACTTGTTTATCGCTGGCAGCTTGGGAGACACACGAAACGAATCTGACGATCGAATTGGTCCAAGAAACACTGTAACGCTTCCTCTTTCGAAAGCAAGGGTGTGTGTCTTTTGGTGTAGACGTTCGGAAATTCGGTTGAACTTTTTGTGGTAACCTTATTCGCTAATTTCGATTGATTTTTCGCATGGGCATCGTGTGTCCAAGGACAATGTCATGTCTGAAGCAGGACCGAATCCATGGTTGAACTTCTGGCACCAAACAGTCTCGCACGAAAATCCAGTCGTGTGCCCTCTTGACGAAAGAGGATGAAAAAGCGAATTCTGCGATAGTCGCAGCTGACATCGTTAGCACGAGCGACTTCATCGACAGGGTTCCAGCTTCGCCAACTCACACATGGCGGTGGACGCGGGGGTCATACGTTGCGCCCTGTCTAAAGGCCAAACCGGGTAACCTACGACTGTGGGCCGCGACTCGGGAAAGTTGCAAAAGTTCAACTTCGATAGTCGAACTTTTGTGTGTCTTGTGATTTTCGACGGTGTTGGTACCGCGACTCGGGTTACAGATGTGGCTAGACTCGAGCCTAGGACGACCTAGGTTCAGACGTATACAGTTCAACTAAAAACTCGAGTTTTGCTTATGAAAACCAAAAGACACGCGCCCTAACTCAATAAGGCCAGGGAAAGGAGCCGCACACTGGGCATCTCGAGAGTGAGGCGTGGCAGAACCTAAAGATCAGGGAACACCTGGGGCAAGACGCGCCAGCAAAATGCCTCGCAAATACACCTGCGGACATGATACCTGCCGCGAGAGTCGCACAATCATATTCGTGTCGCAGGGTCAAGAATTATCAGTCTGGAATCTGGATTCTTGACTCTGGAACCGCAGCTTACATTTGATCGCTATCTTGCCGCCCGGTCTCTCAGCCTTGCGGGGACGGCGCTGGAGCAGGGAGACAGCGGTGGGAACACCAGGGGGTGGGGGGAGACAAGGTGGCGGATGAAAGTGACAGGGAGGCGCAACCATCACCTCCTTCGCGGGGAAAACCCTTTCCCCTTCAGCAGGAAGGCCTTCGCCGCGTATTGGCGCTCCAGGAGCAACCATCCCCCCTTCCAATAATTTTGGCGGAGAGAACGTCGTTTCGTCAGCGACGCTTCTTGCTAGTTCGAGTCGAGTCAGGGAATTATTGTTACCCTCCTTGTGCGGCGATGGTTTCGACTGCGGTTCGTTCGATTACGCTGTCACAGGCAAAAAGGCGATGTACAAAAGCCCACATTATTCACATACCAAAGCAACCTTTGCTGGCCATTTCCTTGCTTCACGCCGACCATCCCACTCCGTTTCTTGGTCCGTAGCTCGTAGTAACCAGAAGCCTTGTCGACCATGGCTCGTGCAGCTCTCGTATCCGTGAATTTTACAATCGTCATCGTCGTCATCTCTTCGCTCATCTGTGTACCCCGCGCGATCGCGTCTGGCGACGACTTGCCGGCTGTGGAAGTCGCAGCCGCCCCCGGTGGGGCTGAAGTTCAGAACTTGGCGAAATTTGCTGTGTCTGAGAATAACAAGCGAGAGGTATGTTTCACCTGGTTATATTTTCTACGTTATAACTTCCGTACTGACATGATAGCTTCGAAACGTTTTTGTGACGGGAAACAGCAGCCGCAGGTACTTTCACATCCGAAAGATAGTAAAATCCGCTTTGGAGGTGGCTCAATTTGTTGCGATGGTGCCTCTGAATGTTGTCATGGTGCTTCTGAATGTTGTCATGGTGCTTCTGAATGTTGTCATGGTGCTTCTGAATGTCCTTTTTTTCCGTTTGTTTTCCAGAAACCATGGAACACAACATGGTAGTCCACGTCTGTACCTTATCTTTGTATCGGTATCGTTTGCACACACTGCACATTCCCGCACCTTATGCACCCTGCCACGCACGCACGCAAGCCCACACACCCTTGACGTTCTGACGCTGTTGGAGCATCGCACTCAAGACACTCACACTCCCTCTCTCCTCTCCCTCCCTCCCTTTCTCCCTCTGCTGTGGAAACTGCAGGCAACAACCCTTCGGTTACTAGTTGTGACTTCAGCATCTCGATCGTTCAATAGTACTAACGGAAGCACCAGGTGGAAGATTGGTCTGATTGCCGACAAACCCGGCAAAGGCTTTCCTCCCACCAAGTTCCTGGCAGTGGTCGTTGAAGTGAAAAAAATAAGGTTCAGGTTGTTGATTTCGTTCGAGGAGTCTGAATAGAATATACTGCGTGGAAACTGCTAGCATGAGGCAATACAGTGTAGGAAAACAGGTAAGGTACATGTGAGCTGGTAAAGGTCGTGGCAAACTATAGGGACTGCAGTGGACAGTGATCCTGTACGGATATTAACACATAACTGTGGTCCGTCCATTAATTTCAAAACACATAAAGATACAGAGATATTCATATATTCAGACACATTCAGGAAAGAGAATGGTGTTTTTTCACCTTGTCGTGGGCTCACGTATAACGAATGTTGCAGACCACCAATCCCAAGGCGTAATCCACCCTCGCAACACGTCACCACTTCTCTGAGGTACACTGAAATGCCTTTGCGGAAAGCCTAGCACAGGCATGACACACGCACTACACGCCATTTGCGAATTACGTCATCGTTACAGTGTTGATGCAAAACTGGGCTCGTCAGATCACTCTCGCAGCATCGCAACACAGCACACACCCTCTCCGCTTCCTCGCAATCCTTTCGCCAATCCCACGCTGTCCCCGCACATTCACCAGCTACCTGTGTGTTGGTTGCATTATTTCTACCCGTGCGCACCACACCCTCCCTTTTCCACGTGCTATTATCCTCGTGCCGCCTCGCGTATTTCACGCTTCGCTCGCACCCCCAACCCCGCACTCTGCGCGCAACCCGCATTGCACATTCCGCAACTCGCCTTCCGCATTCTGCACCCCGCCTTCCGCGTTCCGCATCCCGTCTTCCGCGTTCCACACTCACACATTTTTCCCGCGATGGCATTCTCCGCGCTCCTCCGCCCGTCCCCCTTCGCCTGCCCTGTAAACGCCTCTCCGCTCGCGCAAACCCCTGCGTCGACTCGGCATGTCTCGCTGGGGATGGCCGCGGAAACGGCTAGACGCAACACTCGTAGAGGTACCCTTTGCAACTAGTAAAGATCGCCTTCCTGCAAACTTGGGACAGGACAGCCCCCAAAAGTACAAATATCTGGATCCAGCCTGGCAGCTTTCACGTTGTTTTCACGTTGCTTTCACGTGCTCACCTACTCTCGTGTGTGCGATCAAAACTGCCTGCACGACTCCATCTACGATCTACGATCGCATCGCAAATCCAGTCAGTCAGAGCCAACCGTCCGATCATGTTGGGTGTTCGCCCGATGAAAGCCTCTGAACAAATGCGACGTTCAGATTCGTTCCCCTCCCACCTCATCATCCTGCCTAATCTTTTGCACGTGCGAAATGCACTTTTGGGCTGTCCCAAGTTTGAAGTTGGGACCGCCCAAGAAGGCGATCTAACCGTCTCGCTAGAGCATTCGAGCGCCCTTCGTTGCTAGTTTGCAGCATTCGGCGAGGTAGCATTCTCAAATTTTTAATTTGGCAACACCTAGCAACGCGCATCCTCGCTAACACTATTTTTGCTCCTTTTCCCGCCCCGCTTATCGTTCCGCCCCGCTTCCTCTCGCCCCGCTTCAACCTTGCCCTTCCGCCCTTCCTCCCTTCCGCCCTTCCTCCCTTCCGCCCTTCCTCCCTCCCGCCCTTCTCCCCTTCCGCCCTTCCGCCCTTCCGCCCATCTGCCTTCCCCCCTTCCGCCCATCCTCCCTCCCGCCCTTCTGCCCTTTCCTATCTGACGCCTCCCCTCCCCCCTTGCGCCCAGGCCTGCGCGTGCGCGCCGAGCAAGGAAGGCGGGCGGGGGAGACAGAGGAGCGCGGCGCAGCGGGGGAAAAGGACTCGCGGAATGAGCTCCGCCTCATGTCCGTTGCGCCCATGCCCGTCGCCGCCCTTGCTGCTGGTAAGCGCGTGCTGGTAGACTGGTGGTTGGGCAGGGTGGGGGGACAGGGTGGGGGCAAGACGGGGGGGCGGAATGAGCTGCGCCTCATGTCCGTAGCGCCCATGCCCGTCACCGCGCTTGCTGCTGGTAGGCTCATGGTGGTGTGGGGCAAGGGGGGAAAGGGGGAAAGGGGGAGGGGGGGAAGGGGGGAAGGGGAGAAAGGGGGAAGTGGGAAATGGGAAATGGGGCAAGGGGTAAAGGGGGAAGGTGGGGGTTGCTGCTGGTAGGAGTATCGTGGTGGTAGGGGGAAGCGTAGAGGGGGGTGTTGCTGCTGGTGGGCCCTTGCTGTTGCTGATATGGGAAAAAGGGGGGAGGGGGGGGTTGTTGCTGTTATGCCCGTGGTGGAAGGGATGGGGAGAGGTGTAAAAGCAGGAGGGACAGAGGGAAGGGGGGAAGGTGGGCAAGGGGGAAGGTGGGCAAGGGGGAAGGTGGGCAAGGGGGGAGGGGCAAGGGGGACGGGGCAAGGGGGAAGGTGGGCAAGGGGGGAGGTGGGCTTTGCTGCTGGTAAGGAAGAGGGGAGGGTGGGGAGCCCCTTGGTGCTGGTAAGGGGGAGAGGAGAGGAGGGTGGGGAGGGGAGCCCCTTGGTGCTGGTAAGGGAGGAAGGTTATGCATACATAGAGTGAGCTCCAAGGGAGAATGGATGGAGAGGCTACAAGGGGGAGCAATGGCCAATAGAGCGAGGGGGATGAGGAGAGGGGACGAGCAGAGTGATAATGCTCTCTTTTACTTCCACACTCTCCCGGTTTCATAGTTTTGAGTCGACTCTAAACTAGTTTCATGCACCCATGAGAATTTTACAGAATCTGCTGATGTTTCCCTCCTCCCCCCACTCCCCCCAACCCTCAACCCCCACTCCCCCCAACCCCCCCCCCCCCTCCACTCTTCCCCCACCGCCAATTGGCCAGCTGATGCGCTGAGGGAGCTCCTGGAGCCGTATGGGGAGCTGGTGCGGTCGTGGGACCTTCCTGACTGGCTGATTCACTGGGGGCATCCCGGCAACATGGTGAGATGAGATGAGACGTGATGAGAGACGTGCTTTTGGTGAGACGTGCTTTTGGTGAGACGTGCTTTTGGTGAGACGTGCTTTTGGTGAGACGTGCTTTTGGTGAGACGTGCTTTTGGTGAGACGTGCTTTTGGTGAGATGTGCTTTTGGTGAGACGTGCTTTTGGTGAGACGTGCTTTTGGTGAGACGTGCTTTTGGTGAGACGTGCTTTTGGTGAGATGTGCTTTTGGTGAGACGTGCTTTTGGTGAGACGTGCTTTTGGTGAGACGTGCTTTTGGTGAGACATGCTTTTGGTGAGACGTGCTTTTGGTGAGATGTGCTTTTGGTGAGATGTGCTTTTGGTGAGACGTGCTTTTGGTGAGATGTGCTTTTGGTGAGATGTGCTTTTGGTGAGATGTGCTTTTGATGAGATGAGATGTGCACATGATGGTGAGATGTCATGTGCACATTATGAGATATGTTATTCACATGGTGAGATGTGATCGTCACATGGTGAGATGTATTCACATGGTGAGATGTATTCACATGGTGAGATGTATTCACATGGTGAGATGTATTCACATGGTGAGATGTATTCACATGGTGAGATGTATTCACATGGTGAGATCACTGTGCCTCTGACTTGGCTTGAGCACCAGAATTCCCCACCATGCCCCCTCTCCCCACTACTCCTCCACCCTTCCTTGTGTGCTCACTCTCACGCCCTCTGTCATGTGCTTCCATCAAATCCTGCCACGTGGCATGCAGGCAGTGGTTCTTCTAGCCATGGGGGGATACGGCTCCTACCTGGGATGGCAGATCCGCCTCGCCTCCTCACCTGTGAGCTGGGGTGGGGGGAGGGAGGGGAGGAAAGAGTGGCCAGGGGGGAAATAGGGGGACTTTTGAGACGTTTGATAATCCATGGGGGGTTATGGCTTTTACCTGGGATGGCAGATCCGCTTCGCCTCCTCGCCTGTGAGTTGGGCAGCAGGGAAAAAGGGGAAGTGGGAGGGGAAGGGAGGGACAGAAGGGGGAGTCAGGGGGCGTAAGCTTACATGGGCTTAAGTGCTTGGAGGGCAGTGAAGGCGGCAACAGCAGGGGCGACAGAAGGGGGGAGTCTGGGGGCGTAAGCTTACAAACATTTTTGAGGCGCCTCAAAAATACGGTATGTATGTGTATATCTTATATATATTTATGCGCTGCGGGGTACCACAATGAATACATTTTGTCGCGGCTTATAAAAGTGGCACCCACCCACCCACAGAAAAGTATTTCTTGTGTCGAGAATCACCTGGTGCTACGCGTGCCATGGATCAGGAGGCCAAGGCAGAATCGTGAGCAGCAAAGTTGTGCCATCAAGTGCCCCCTCGTCTCAGCGCCTCCCCTTGTTCTCCCCGTGCCAAATGCCACGCCTCCCCACGCCTCCCCACGCCTCCCCGTGCTCCCCATCTCCCCATGCTCACCACGCTTCCCCATGTCCTCTCCCCCGCGGCCCGTGCTGGTTCAGGAGGCCAAGGAAGCAGCACGAGCAGCGCACCCGCCCATCATGGGCTTCATGTTTCTCTTCTTTGCCATCGGTGCTACTGGTGGGCTCACCTCCCTTGTCACCACCGGCCGGCCCATTTTTGAAAGGTGAGGTGCTCCCATGGGGCCGTGCTGGCATGGTGGGCTGTGTACTTCAAGAGCAGCGCACCCGCCCATCATGGGCTTCATGTTTCTTTTCTTTGCCATCGGTGCTACTGGTGGGCTCACCTCCCTTGTCACCACCGGCCGGCCTATTTTTGAAAGGTGAGGGACGGTGGAGGGTGAGGGATGCTGAACGGTTTGTTGGTGTGTGGGCAGGTTTGCATGCACTAATCTTCCGGCGGACTCATCACTCTTGTCACCTCCGACCAGTCTTTTTCTTCCACTGCCTCTTTCTCTGCCTTCTTCTGTCCTGTTCCATTCAACTATTCGTATTCTTCTATTTATTGATTTTTTTTTTTGTCTATTCATTGTTCATTTATTTATTTGTTTACTTGGTTCTGGTTCCATGAGGCCCTCGTGCATACATACTCAGGCATGGCTGATATTGTACTGCTCATCCATCAGACGGACTTTTGAGCTAACTCAAGAGTCACATTTCATCACTTATTTCCAATGCCGTGCAGCCCCCATGCATACTCAGGCATGGCCGGTCTCGTGCTGCTCACCATTCAGACCGCAATGACTGCCCTCTTCAAGGTGGGTTTCCTGCAGTGGCTGCCCTCTTCAAGGTGGGTCACCTGCAATGACTGCCCTCTTCAATGTGGGTCGGCTGTAAAGAGAGTGATTTTTGCTCTCTGTACTTGCATGCCTTCATTCCCGCTGCAAAATGCTCGCAGCTCAGAGAGGATGCCACGACTGTCACGACTGCCCACTGCTCACTGCCGAGTATGTCTGCTGATTCGCATTGCGTGCACTCTTGCTCGCTGCCATGCTCTGCTCGCCCACCCCCACCGCTCACCACCTCTCACAATATCACGACTGTCCTCTTCGACATTATTGTGCTGCTTTGTTGCTCAACCAGTGCGGTCTACGCACACCGCATTATACGGTAGTCTACGCACACCGCATTATACGGTAGTCCACGCACACCGCATTATACGGTAGTCCACGCACACCGCATTATACGGTAGTCTACGCACACCGCATTTTACGGTAGTCTACGCACACCGCATTATACGGTAGTCTACGCACACCGCATTATACGGTAGTCTACGCACACCTCATTTTACGGTAGTCTACGCACGCACTGTGAATCTATCCATTGGCTCCATTGCTAGATCCATTATGGATGGAACTCTGCTTCTTGCATGTCTCTGTTTCCTTTTCCCGTGTTCCTCCTCATCTCTGTTTCCATACCCCATCTAACCCCACAAACCCCTTCTTCTTCTCCACCCCTCCAGGGCAATCCTGACCTGCGGGGTGTGCATGGCTCTTTGGGGGTTCTCATTATGGTGCTTTTTGTTGTTCATGGGCTTCTCGGACTTCAGCTGGGCCTAAGTTATTAGCAAGACTGGTCTACAAGAATAAACTGTGGGTTGCAAGGGTGCTACATGGAAGTATTCCATCATTGTTCGTTATTTCACGAAAACATGGAAGTTCCATGAATGAAAGCATTTGTGCCATTGCAAACAGGGAGAGGGTTTGGGTTAAATCAATCAACAGGTTTACAAGTCATGTATTCAGATATAATTTTATTTGTTTTTTTTTTCCAGCTAAAGGATGTATCTAGTAGTAGTTCTGGTTAGGGGTAATAAGTGCTTGCATTTTCCCTTGATTGAAGCATCGCGAGTGAAGCTGAGCAACTAGTATCGCGAATAAAGCTTGGTCGCTTGGTGCTCCACAGCAAAAGCATTCTAGTTGTTGGCACATTGGAAACCTAGCCCATTTTCCCTACGCTTCCTGCTTGCACCACCCAATGCTGCTGCAGAGTGAGGAAGAAGAAGTCGTTTCAACTTACATGTGGTAGATGCTGCTGCTCCTTGGCACTAATGCGCGGTTACAAGAGCTTATTGATATCATTAAATGGAAGAGCAAAACATATAATTTACATGCTAAAGCAGGGACACCCGTCCCAGCCAAAAACAAGCGGTTCCATAATCGTAGCCAGAGGCACTCATCTACTATTTATCCCCTGATTTCAAACCATGGCAGAGACGCCTTCCGACTTGGGCGTCTGCACTTGCAGCGCGTACTTCTGGCCGCGAACGACGGCGTACATCTTGTCGGGCGCGATGTAGTCGCAGGTGCGCTCGATGCGGAAGGGCTGGCCGGGAATCTGGTCGCCCGAGTGAATCTGCACGCCCGTGATCACCGCGTAGTCCGCCGTGGCGGGGTCCACCGTCAGCGAGATGAGCTTCTCGAGGTCCTCGTTGATCGCCGCCAACGCCGCGCGCGTCACGTCCACCAGAGACTTGTTACCGCCCGACACCTGCGAAAAGGGATTAGGAGGCGGAAGGTTCAGAATGGGGAGATGATTAATTTTTAGTCTTTGTGGCAAAGAAGTTACATCCTGGACTTAATTCCTCTGCCTCTTCAAAGGTAGGTACTGATCGTATTGGAATGAAAAATTCGTGTAATAATTATTCACGTATTCTTACCTTAGCCATGATCTTCTTGCGCAGCAGCGTGTACTCGGGGTCGTCGCTGTCCATGCTGGGCGCCGCGCCGTTGTTGATGTCGTTTTTGATGGCGATCAACGCTCCGCACGCGCTCGACGGCTTGCCGCGACCGCGACGCAGCAGCGACCCCACCTCGCCCGATTCGCCGATGGACACGTGGGGGAACGCGAAGAAGATGTCTGGAGAGGGCAGGAATATAGATGGAGAATAAATGAATTAAACGATGGATATGTCTGCAGCTTGCAATTGTACATTTCAATTGCGAGAAAAAATGTTATTTTTAATGTTAATAAATTTACTGTAGGGTAACCCTAATGCGAACCCAGACTTACATCGCTCCTTGAGGTTGCCGTCGACGTCGCAGGGGAACTCGGGCGAGTGGCTCATGGCGGCTTTGAAGCCGACCTTGCCGCAGTTGACGAGCCCGCCCAGCCCCGAGATGTTGAAGCTCAGCCCGAATTCGCGGTCGATGATGCTCACCACGGGCCGGCACACCTCGTCGCGGCACGTGTTCACCAGCGCGATGCCGTTGTCCTTGCGGAACCCCAGCTTCGCCAGCTCCACCGCCACGGCCTTCAGGAACGCCTCCTCCTGCATCGCCGACGGGAACGTCGTCGCCATCGTCGCGAGGGCGGACGCCGCCGCGTGCTTCGCGCGCGGCACGATGCCGCTGGGCGGCGCGGGAGTGGCGGCGGGAGCGGCGCCCGTGGATGCGGCGGGAGCGGCAGAGGGGGACGCGGTGAGCTTCTTCACGGCGACGTAGGTCGCGGCGCCCAGAGCGCCGGCGCCGACGACGGCGGGGAGGAGGGCGCTGGTGGCGGGAGCGGCGGGGGCTGCCGTGGATTGGGAAACGCTGGCAAATTGGTTGTCTCCGCTGGCCTTGGCGACGATGCTGGTGCGACGGTTACCGCATTTCGCGCACGGGCAGGAGCAGGATCGGCCGCAGGACACGCAGGTGCATGTTTGAATCCTGGCAGAGGCGGAGAGTCCCCTGTGCGCCTTGAGGCCGGAGAACCCAGGGATTGCCGCGCGGGAAGAAGAGGAGAGGCTGCTTCCCTCTGGGACAGCGAGGGAGCGAAGGGAGGCGGACGCTGAGGAGGAGAGAGTCGCAGCCATTCTGTCGGAAAGCTGTGTTAAGGCCTGAGATGTATTAGGCGCTTTAGTCTGCGACGATGACAGAAAGCTAGACGGTTTGAAGAAACTGGTAATGCGTTGATTAGAAATCAGTGAGTAAGAGGCATGTATATACGATTTTAGAATGTTGCCCTTAGCGAGGCAATCTCGTGCCAACAAACAAGCTGTGCCTTTGACGGGCGCAAATCTGTCGACCCGAGGAGTATTTTGAATCTCGCCCAAAATTCTGGACCGGGCGGGCGCAGGAGCTTTGAGGGGCAACATTGTGGTCTGGATGCGGTTCGTGTGCGAGGTCCCTGACGAGTGGTTTGGGGGCTGAGCTGGATGATCCACATGGGGCGTCCAGCTCAGAAAATGTAACCACGTCAGCCATTAGTCGATAAGTCAATGGCTCCAATCTCGCTCCCGAAGCGCACGTTTTGACATTCCCTCCCCTGCCAATCTCCCGCTTTTCAGGGTCTTGTGCACTGGGAAGAAGTTGTACCTATCAACGATGAGGAATTCGCGGGAAGAAGTCACCCACTCGCCCTATCAAATCCTCTTCGATGTGTATGCCAGGCGGGAGATGCAGGGGATTTCTCTCTACAAGCACTCCCCAGAAACAGAACGAAATTGCAGGTAAGGAATTTGCTACTATAAAAAATTATCCATTTCCTTAGGGGCGCGTGACCTTCAGCACAATTCGTGAAGTTTAATTTTTATTCAAAATCTGAGTGTATCGGCGAGAAGCACTAAGTTGCACTGCTCCGAAAGGCGGATCAAACTGCCTGCTTTTCTGGATTCACAGCGACGAATCGTCGCTGACGACGCACGTTGATGCACGTTTGTCACAGCGCGTCAGCTCTATTCGTTTTTTAGGCCCCTAAGAAACCGTAATCGACAACCTTCATGCGGGCGAAGCAGGCAAAGGAAAGAGTCAGAAGTAGTAGGATTCCTATTGCTGAATGTTACGAGTGGTAATGTTTGAGACATTACTGTGCACTCCTAACCGGAGCTAAGGAAACATGCAGTATCGAGAACGAATACGAGGAGTCAGAACTGACTCGAAGCGTCAGAACGGTTGGGACGGATCCGGACCGTCGGAGCAGACAACATCGGGCAGTTGCAGGCAAGAGGAATTGGCGGGAACAGTTTTCGTAACTGTACGCGCCACACGGTTGGGAACGAATTTGAATAAGGGAATGTACCCCTTAGAGTACATGGCTAGCTAGGTCGATCCGAATTCCCTGTATTCTTATTTATATCGCTGTATTTGCAGGTTCTACTCTATCTCAAGCATTTTACATTCACTCTGCTATTGAGATCAAGGGCCCACCAACACTATCTAACTGCGTGCGAACCTTCCCGAGTAGATCCTGGGAGCGATCCCCTTCTGATCGTAGCATGGTATCAGAGCGGCTCGGGGATCTTTCGCACTGTCACTCCCGAAAATTGCGACATTCGGAAAGTGGCGTCCGGCATACGCTCGCGTGTGAGAATGGCCAGAGAATCTGGTGGTCAGACTAATCTGACGGCTGCGACAAGCGAGGGAACGACAACAATCGGTACCGAAGTCCTCGCACAACTCCTTCAGCGACTCACCAGCTTGGAGCAAGGGCTCCAAACATTGCGGAACGGCGATGCGGGAACATCCTCGCAACCTTCTCAATCGGCCCCAACTGGCCAGAACGCCGCCCCGCACACTTTCTCCCTCGACACAAATGGTTCAACCCCCAAGGCTCCCCGTCCCAGTGAAGAGGCAATTCTCTCCGCGCAATCAAGGTTTCTCAGCATATAAAAAATAAAGACAAGTACCTGCTTCGACGGCAGAGATTTCTATACATGGAGATTCGAACTGGAGCTCCTGCTGCAGAACGCCCAAACCTTCCATTATTTCGACGGGAGCTACGCGGAACCCGCTGAGGACACCGACGACGCCAGAACTCACTATTACAACGAGTCATTGATGGCGTACGGAGTCCTCCTGCGCAACATGTCGCCGGCAGAGCAGTTAAGCATCCGTTCGTACAAGACATCGGCTGCTCCGGCTCTCGACGCTTGGCGCCACCAGAACGTTGTGTATCAGCCGAAGGACTCAGTCTCTTCGAGCCGGCTACTCCAGCAGTTACTGGAGACCAAAATGACCTCAGGGGACAAGGTCAACAGCTACATCAATCGCTGTCGGAAGAGCACACTCCGAAAACGGAGTATACGTCCTGGACTTCGACATCCCCGACTGCAGTGGCAACTCGCACGAGTTAATCGACCTCGTACCACTGCGCTTCGAGCACATCCACCGCAGGGACTGGAAACACCCTGACGGAAGACCGTGGGTGCCGCATCACCCTCACCCACGTGAAGCGGCACTGCACGACCCCGACCCAAGTGGCATATGCAGAGACTGTCACATGCCAACGGCGTCAACCAGCGCAATTGCTGGCCGCGGACTCGCCGCCATCGCCGAAGCAGAACGCCACGCGACGCCAGAAGAAGGAATGTCAGTTTTTGAGCTTGAAGTCACCACACGCGGTGTGTTCGGCACGTTAGAACATCCTCTAGTCGGACCCCCCTCGCAGCACCTCCAAGGGATGCTGCGTGGCATTGGTATTGGCACCTTCGACGCACGCGGAGTCGCGCGCCCCTACACACGGGAGGAGTTCCTGAAACTTTACCCCCTCTGGCGCGACCCCACGGCAAAACTCACAGTGGAACAGGAGGAAAACTTGGCGCGCCGCGAAGCAGAGGAGCTCCGCCAAGCCTCGCCGAAGCACGCGGAACATTCGCCTGCGGCGCCTGGGGGGCCGAATCGGAAGAGAGCGCCTCCAATGAAGGGGGGTGGGGGAGCGTCGGCGGATGGGGAACGGCTGACACTGGGTGGGGCGCCGCACCTGGCGGCGAAACTAGCGGCTGGGGCTCCTCTGCCGGAGGCTGGGGAACTTCCCGCGGCGAACAAAGGGGGGGAGAAGAAACAGCAGAGGCTGCGGTTGTTCCCCTTGGTCGTCCCCCGCGGCATGCTCCACCCGCGCAGCCTCCGCCTGACATTCCGCCGCATCTCAACCCCTGGGACACCATCGATTGGGGCAACGAGCCGTCAACTCCGCGCCGCACCGTCTATGTACCCGCTCCCGAACCGTGCGAACCCACCTTTGTCCCTAGAACCATCACTGGGACTAACATCCCTCTCTCTGAAATTCGCGACAGAGAGTTTCTGGCACTAATGATGACCACCACCAACGACGAAGAAGAAGCAGCAGAAGAGGTAGCAGCAGATCCTGCCCCGTGTCTGACGAAGACCTCGAAGAAGCTCGCGCGCGCTACATGCGCACATCCGGTTTTCGCGCCGACGATGCATTCTGGCACCAGCGCCTCGGCCACCCTTCCCGCGCGACACTGAAAAACTGCATTGACGCAGGCGTCTTCGCTCCTGGAGCGCTCCTGCATCCAGACGGCACCGGAGTAAGAGGCGCGACACACCCACGCAACTGCACCATCTGCCCCAAAGCCGCGCTAAGCCATCAGCCGTTCCCGCTGCTCGAGCCCGGAACAAACCGCTACCCCAAGCTGCACAAAGTGTACAGCGACTTCCTGAACGTGGGGCACTGCGGAGTCGACGACGAAATGTACACGCTTACCTTCATCGACGCTGGAACGCGCTACGTGTGGGTCGCAAACGTAGAAACCCGCGACAGAGCCTACGAGGTATTCCGACTCTGGCTGGCGCACGCGCAACGACAATCTGGACAAAAGCTGAAAATTTGGCAATCTGACGGCGCAGCAGAATTCAGGAGCAACCAGATGCAGAGCTACCTGGCGCAAAAGGGGATCGAGCATCACATCTCTCTCCCCTACGCACACCAGCAGCAGGGTGTAGCTGAAAGGACGAACCGCACGCTCATGACAAAGGTGCGGGCGCTAATGAAGCAGTCGAAGCTACCGCCGATCTACTGGACCTACGCGATGCACCACGCTGTACGGGTGCACAACCTGCTGTCAACCACCGCCATCACCGGCAACCTGTCCCCGCATGTAAAATGGACCGGGACTAAAGGGGACACATCCATGCTCCGCGTGTGGGGGTGCATGGTTCAATACCGCCCGCCGACGTCAACCATCGGGAAATTCGCCAGCCGCGCGCGATGGGGCATTCACCTCGGCATCAGTCACGAGCACAAGGCATGGATCATCCTAGACTTGCTCAGCCAGAAGACCACCCACGCCCGCGACGTGATATTTTACGAACGCCTCTTCCTCGAACAGTTCCACCACGACGAGCAGACAAATGCGAACCGCGTCTACGCGAACGACGGACACAGCTACGCAACACCCGAAGACGAAGCCGCCGCAGCAATTCTGGAGCAAGACACCAGGAGCGAGTTCACATGGGGAGATCGCCACAGCAGCGACGATGACGACCCCCCTGAAGGAGGAATGGGCGGAACGGGCGGAAGCGGCAGAGGCGCAACACCATCAGCACCACCTGAACCCGAGAGTGATGATGACGATGTGCAGGAAGTCATCCCGCAACGTCGCCACGACAGCACTGTCTCAGGACTGCAGTTGCTCGGGCTCCACACGGCAACCTCGAAAGCACCACGCGTCATCGAGCCATGAAACCCGCGCCAAGCTCTCACTGGACCACACAGCAAGGAATGGCGCGAGGCAAAGGACGCGGAGATTAAAGCACTCGAATCCCGAGATACCTGGGTGCTAGTCGACCGCGCAACAATCAAAGGCGCGCGAATTCTCTCGGGAAAGTGGGTCTTCCGCGTGAAGACTGCAACAGACGGAACGATCGAGCGCTTCAAGGCAAGATGGGTGGTGCGCGGCTACGACCAGAGGCACGGGATCGACTTTGATCAGACATTTGCTCCGGTTAGCCGCCACACCTCCGTCCGAATCCTGCTCGCCATCGCAGCCGCTTGACACCTACCTCTACGCCAGATCGACGTGAAGAACGCGTTCCTGTACGCGTTAGTAGACGCCGTCATCTACGTGGAGCAGCCTCACACATACGGCGAAGGGGATTGGCGCGTATGCCAGCTGCGCAAGTCTTTTTACGGGATAAAACAGGCACCGAGGCTTTGGCAGCAGTATCTACACAACATCCTGCTTGAAATCGGGTTCAAGCAGATGCCGCACGACCCTGGGATGTACCACCGTGATTTCAGGGGCGAATACATTCTGCTCACGGTCTACGTCGACGACTTACTATACACAGGCTCAAGCAACGAACTTTTGAAGCAGTTCGAGAAAAGCCTGGCGGGGCGCGTCGACATCACGTGTAACTACGAGGTGAAGCAATTCTTAGGCCTCAACATCTCCTACGCGCCCGAGGCCATTCACCTTTCAGCGGCTAAGTATGCAGAGGAGTTAGGGAAGCGGTTAACATCTCAC